TGGCTATGAATAGCCAAAACATGTAGCAGGGCCGAAAATGGTCTGATCTTGATATTAGTCCTGTTGTGATGGATATAATAAAAGGGTTGTAAATATATAATAGTTTTTCTTAAAAGAAATGTGTGAAGGTCTACTTTGGGACTGGAATAGTGAAACAAAAGAAGTTGCAAATATAATCTGCTCCAAGCAGTGAAATGATTAATCACATATACAAACATAAATTTAAAGTTAATTAAGCATCTTTTTGCGAAGTGAAGATAAAGTCCAAAGTTTCCCTTAATCTCAGCACTAGAAGTGAGTGGTCAGCTTTATCTGTGGGGATAGAACTTTTGATACCTATCGGATCAGGATAGGTAAGCCCCAGGACTGAAACCCTGGTTGTCCAGCCCAAAGCTTCATAAGTGACTGACTGAGCTATCCTGGCGCTTGTTAATCATATAGCATATTTCGGATGCACATTCTTCATTAGATTATGAACAACATAAAGGTGTTTTAATTTTTCTGTTTTAGAGAGTTAGTAATATTTGCAAGACATATGGTAAATATGCTTCATTTGCAAACTCAGCACAACCTCAATGTCAACTTTTAATTCAGTGACATGAGGTACAGAGAACTGCTGCATGGTCCAGCCAGTCTTACAGGAGAAATGATTATAAGTGACAGTACACTCATTTATGTCCTAGCTAAGTAATATTTTCCTTTCCCATCACAAAACCCTGAATATTCTGATATACTTCCTGTACTGAAAGTTAATGTGGTCTGGTAGAAAGCTACAAAATATGCAGTGTTATCATTACATGGTTATAAATTACCAGTGATAAATACAAGCTTGTACTGGGAACGAAACAAAATGCAACCACAAATAGGAATTCAAGCATACAATTCAAATTGCTCTCAATCCAATTACAGTACGGCTCAAGAAAATAATCTCTGAAGGAAATTCTGTGTGACAGAACACTGTGAAATCAATGATATGTGGTCATAGAAAAAGACAATCTATGTTATTGTTTCTCCTCTGTGTAAAGAAAAAACTAATCCATGTAACTACCAAATTACCAAACATAAAAATAATTAAAAAAACAATTATTTTCATTAATTTCAAACAAGGCATAAAGACTGCATTCCTTTCTAAGTGATACTATGTCTTAAAGGGCACTAAAGGTTAGATTCTTTTCAGTTTTCCTGAAAAAGTTGCTGAAGCCGAATATTCATTTTCGAGTGACAATGCCATACTGTGACAGGATGGTTTGCCAGCACTTTGAAGAAAGTAGCAGTCTCAAACTTCAGGTGAAAAGGGACTTCCTGAAGTTGTCCAGAAGACAAAAATTGATAGTTTTCCTCAAATATTTCCATACAGGCAGCATCAGTCATAACCATACACAGTTGGAGCCATGGTGAACTGCTTAAATTGATGTGCAGTTTCAATTATAACCATAAGGTATTAAAAATTTCTTAAATTTCTTGTTAACAAACGGGGTCCACTTTATGTGGAAGGTACTGTGTTACTTGATGGAAATGCAGCTGTGAATTAATGGCATAAAATTTTGGCATTTTGGATCTTAAGGCATTGGGTTTGATGCAGCTCAGGGTCAGTAATTTTGCTACCAGAGCCATGATATAACGTTCATGTTTCTCACTGCAAATAACACTGAACAGCCGGTTTTGATACTGATTCTGATGTTGTTTACCTAAGAAGATTATGAAATTTAATCTGCACATCATTTATCAGAAAACTGTGACAGCAGTTTTTCGATAAATCGACAAATCTCTTGACCCTGGTGGGAATCAAGCTCCAGTTCCTCTGTCCTTCTGTCTAGCTGCTATACAGATTCTGCTATCTGAGTTTCCACGAGTCAGTTTGTACCAAAAATACCAAAGGATGAAATGCAGACTGCAGTGAGCTCTGAGTGCTGAGCCACTTTCTGTGGAGTGACCTGACTGACAGTTTATGACAGTGTATATTTCCAGCCAGCAAATGGAATACAGATTAGGACAATGAAGTACATTCACTGCATTATTTAGCTAGGAAAAAACGTTCCAATGTTGCCAGGCTGAATCCTCCAAAGGTAAGATGGAATGTGTCTTACAAAAGAAGTTCAATAACTTTATGAGAACTTTTGTAATTTCCATTTGTATTTTAAATTAGTAAAACAAGCAGACATTTAATGGACAAACAATGACCATATTTATAAATTTCAAAATGCTTTTTGTTACAATACTGCTAGGCAGTGCCAAACTAAACATGTTACCATGGCTCAATAAACATGTATCGCATTAAGAAAGAGTCAATACGTCAATAGAACTGTTAAGATAGTGTAAGATTTGAGGTTTTCATGGTGGTGACTATGAAGAAAGCAGTCTTCTGGGATGTGGCGCCATGTAGATATTGTGTTAATCGACGTTTCGGAGGGATGTATCGCCTCCATCTTCAGGGTAGAAAAAGAAGAAAATCCACAAGCTAGGAACCAGACAGTGTTTCCTATATGGTCCATGCTGAAGTTATATGAGGAGGAATCAGTCAGAGCTGAGAGACACCCCAACCCACTGAGAGATATGAATGCCCCCTCCCCTCCCCAAGGCACAACAAACAAGTACAAAGTCAATCAGTTCAGGCTCCTAATGCAAACAGTTCAAAACGATATTTCATGAGATCATGACACAGCTCGATAGGGCTGAGCCAGAAGAAGACAGAATAATGGCCCTCACAAGCTGTATTAAAACTCATACAGCAAATCACTGCTAGAGTTCAAAGGTGGTAAATACGACTGCCCTGGTGAGGCCCAGCAGCAATTGTAAATGACAGACCTTTCCTTCTGTCAAAGACAGTCCCCAACATCAACAAAACCACAACTGTCTAACAGTAATAAGAATCTGGTCTTGGGGCCTCAGATGGGTGCTTGACACCATGACAGACTGATCAACTGACTGTTGGTCATAATATAACTTTGAGCTGAGAGGCAGTACCCAGCTAGCAATGACATGATCATGAAAAAAGAGGACATCCTTGAGAGCCCCTACTGAGCAACACTAGTGAAAATTTGGCAGACTAAGAAGACTTAGTGTTTTCATCAGTGGATTGTTATGCACATAAATTAGCAAGAGCATTATAATTATTTGTAGCTGTGAGGTATGAGTGTTCAATGAATCCAACTGTCAATCCAAACCTCATGTCTAGTCACTAACGTGTGAGACTATCTTAAACCATTACAGAAATGTGACTAGTTTAACAGAAGGCACAGAAAAAAAATACTAACTACCTTCATGGAGCTGAGCCCTTCTTAAGAAGCCACCAATTGTGTAGATACTCAAGAACTTTCCAGCAATTTATAGAACCAGATGGTTCATTACTGTGTTCACAAGAACCCCCCCAGTGGTCCCTATCTTCAGTCAGATCGATCCAGTCCATACCACCCCATCCTATCTCTCTAAGAAACAAAATACTAGTGAATTTAATTCCATCCAGCCCATACCATTAAAGATTTCAATACTTTCGCCTGCCTACCACGAACATTTTTGCAGCTGGGCCATCTTTAAAGGCTTAACCTTCATTGGTCATGTGTTGCAGTACCACAATGCCACATGTGGACAGTCAAGCTAGCCAAGCATTGCATTCTGTCAATATAATGCTGGTAACCCAGACTAAAAATTCAGCTGCTAGCTCTGTAGTACTGTGGAATACAGGATTCCCTTATTGTCGTCATCCTCCTCATTTCCAGTTTTCTGCCTACTGAAACCTATTATTAATACTGCAAAACCTTTTCAACATTTCAAAGGCCTTCCCTAACTACTTTTTCCTTTCAGCTGGTGTCTTGAAAACTTCTCTAAATTCCTGTCAACATGTTCTTCCTACATTGGACTTCTATCCATCAGCAGTGACTATGAAGGGTAAACTTCTGTGATAATGATATTAGTTCAGACAGGAAAATGTTTTGGAGGACCATACCACTTTCATCTTCTGGATCAAAGAGTGGCCAAGAAAAAACCAGCATATGCAGGAGGCTTCTTCTGGCATCTTGCTTGGCTTACTCTTTTTCTCTGAAGATGTAGGTGATATGTTCCTCCTAAACATCAGGCTCTCTACAAACTACACAGTGTTATAACACACAAGACCATACGAAGAATCTTATTTATAATTATTCTGTACTGTTCTATAAATTATTATTTATGGAATCAGTAGTTATGCCACAGTTTCTTCATTATTTTAGGGTCCTCCTCATGAAACACATTTCTGCTGATATATTAATTACTGAATGAGCCTATGAAGAGGCTCTAATGTAACAGGTCTCATGCTGTAAAATTCCCTATTCCTGTGCAAAAAACTTTAATCACTGGCATGCCAAAACATCACTCATGACATGGTATCAACACTCAAAAATGAAATCTTCAGTCTCAAAAAGTCACTGTAAAAGTCTGAAGACTTTCAAAATGTATCCTGTTATTTTCTGTGTGTCCGTGGACCAACACATACACAAATGTAGCTGTCTTCCCCACTTATGCAATATGTGTTCTCCATGTAGTTTTATTAATTTTAAAAACATACAATGACAGAGGAATCTGTTAAATGTCACGTAAGTAAGAGATCTATGGAAGAACATGATGTGAAATGACAGCATTTCACATCACAGTTCTCCTACCCAATGGCTACACTTAGAACAGGCTCAGAGCAGATCTACAGTACTATTTAATTATGAACTGACATCACTCATATGACATCACAATACTGAACTTTACATTTAAATCACATCTGTTTCATTTTTCTAATATGGTATCTAAGAAGGGGAGAAAAGAAACATAACTTGAAACTGGGCCTGAGTCATGAATTCTTTCTGAGAGCTTAGAAATGAAGTGGGGGAAGCTTTGATATAGTCAGGAAGCATAAACTTGTTTATACCTGTAAGATTTGAGACTTTCACGGTGGTGACTATGAAGAAAGCAGTCTTCTGGGATTTGGCACCGTGTCTATGTGGTGTTAACCGACGTTTCGGAGGAACGTTGGTTAACACCACATATACACAGTGCCAAATCCCAGAAGACTGCTTTTTTCATTGTTTATACCTGTATTAACCATTTAATGTACAATGGGAAGTATATGTATCACCTGCTTTAACATTAAAAAATTCTGATCCTTCCCCACAGAGCATATTTGAGTGTCATGTGATTCATAGAATAAACAGTAATTATCTCCCTAAACAGCATTAGCCAGGTGATGTTTGTAATGTAGGCATTGCGCTTCTGTAAGGCAGGAACAGAATTTGTAAATACTGTTTAAACAATTTTAGGCTTCAAAATGGTTAAATAATCACTTCAAATTTAATATTATGTAAAGTATGTAATAACCTAAATATCTGAGAAAGTTTCTGTGCATTCTTCACATGAGATGAATAAAATGAGTGAAGAATGAGGGAGTCATGTCCACACATCTGTCCACATGTTTCGTCTCCAGTACTGCTATACAGATTATAGTGAAGTTTGGTATTGGGGGTGCTGCCATGCAAATTTCATTTTGATCTGTAATCAATTCACAACAATCACTACTTTACAAGTAGCTAGAATTAAGCTTTACCTGAGTTCTCAAATATTATTCACTGTATAAAACATGGAATAAGACAAACACAGGTGTCATTAAGGTTTACAACTTGAATTTTAAATACAATATGTTCTTTGATATGGTGTACATGTATAGAAGTAGAAGGAAAAATAATTTATGCCTCTAAGCAAGGATGATCAGCTTTGTCAGTATTAAGAGTTATACCATTAGTCTTAATTAGGTATTTAAATTTGTACAGAATGTATTTTTAAAATATGTGAAATGACAATTCAGAGTTCCTGCATTCAGTGAAATCCCATATTTAGTGAATTCTGATATAGTTAATAAACCACATTCAGTGTACCTGACAAATTTTCAACCTCCCAAAACTCATACCTTGACTGGCAGTGGCGGTGGTTGAAATAACTGATATTTATGTATGACTTCAGCTTTTGGAAATACACAACATGGAATGTTACAGGTTTTCAAATGTTTCAGAAAACACTGCCATTCTCATCTTCAAGGTTAATTTAAAGTCTGGGGGGGGGTGTTCATCTCACCATGGGCATTGAGTTAGAAGTAAAGCTCTGATTGGATGAAACACGGTAGTGCTGAGCTTGAATAGTTACTGCACAAACCATAATACCTAGCACGTGATGTCAAACATCAAACATTCACTGAAACCATGCCATTTCTGACATCACAGTCACTTGGATTCTTGACTGAGGTTCTTTCACTATTTATTTCATATGTCAATAACTATTTCAGGAATTCATGTGACTTTAACTACTTATGTAAAAATTATTTTGTCATAATTACACCAGCAAGTCTTATAAAAAGATTAGGGCTTTCTTGATGCAATTTTGCAAAATTATCATTCAGCTTAAACTTAAATTTAGTGTGAGAATTGTGAAGTTTGAGGTTCTCACAGTAGTGACTTTGAAGATGACTGTATTCTGGGATGTGACACTGTGTAATGTGGTAGATCATTATTAACATTCTAGAGGAACCTGTTACCTCTTGAGGATGAAGGTGACAGGTTCCTCTGAAACACTGGTAATGATCCACCTGATCATGTGCCACTGCAACCCAGAAGATAGACATCTTCATAGTGAATTTTTCCAGAGATTCATTAAGTAGGGATTTCACTGTTATGTGTACTCTAACTGCATGCAGTACACCTCTTCCACTTTGCCCCGTTGGAATAGGAACAAAGTTGATAATTTCAATTAAATATCACATTACTAACAATTACTATATTATGAATAATGGCAGCTCATCAACTTCATTCTGTTCAATTTTCTGCATAAAACTTTCCACCCAATTTTGTATCAGTTTACTAACTCACATTTTAACATCTGACATGACATTCATGGCAAGAAAACACATGGAAGCCAGCAACTTGAAGATTGTCACTGTAAATGCAATATTCAATGACAGAGCTAAGTCAAAGCAACTATCAGTTGGTCGGTCAATCGGTGAATGAAGATCATTATCAAACTATCAGTTCTGCCTTCTAAAGATATTCCTTTAACATAGAAAACATAGGTCCAGGGTAATATAACTTAAACAATATATTCTGATACCTCACATGCTTCATAAACAGAACCCACAGCACAATATAGAATTTTGTATCTCATGAATTTATATACCTATGTATTCCAGTCAGGGAAGTACAAAAACCATGTGGAACTGAGTAGGGCTGACAATATTGTTTAGAATGAGGCACCACACTTCTTATAATTGCCAATTTCCAATACAAGGACAATACCTGTCAAAATATTTCTACAAAAGGAAGTGCCTTTAGGCACCATATAAACTGTTATTTACTGTATTTTTCTGTGTGTGAATGACAAAGGTAAAACTGACCCTGTATCTAAACATAACACCACAAGGTGTACAGTGGACATGGATGTAAAAGCTCCATGCATTCTAGAACTTGGTACTACGGGGTGAGTGATCAGTTTCATGCTCTGGCCACTTAAACATTGGGGAAAGAGCTCATGGTACCCATTGGATAAGAGAATTGGTTAGCCTCAGAGCCAGCCGGATATGCTAAAAAAATAATAATTCATGCCTCTGCCAGAAATTGAATGCCAGCTGCCCACATCATTGTCAGTCACTTTACTGATTCTACAATCCTAGCTTATGATGATCACCATATTTATTAATTATTTGGCACTCATTTTTATCTCTAGTGCAGGTCCTCATTTTTAAATCTGCTTTTCCACTTAACCAACTTCATTCTTCCTCCAATCAGAGAATCCTTATAACTCATTATATCATGCATACTTTCATTGGTCACAATTTACTGCATATGTGTAACTGTAAGTACAGTACTGCTGCTTTTGTAAGATTCTTTGCTCCATCTGATGTTAGTCACAAAACAGTCATGAAAGCATTTTAAGCAAATTAACTGCAATTTGTTCCAATTATGCAAACCTGTCATATCTACATTACATAAATTGCCACATGCCAGTTTATCTGAAACCACTTTTAACTTTGAGCATTTCACAAGATTACATTTCAATTAAACTAAGTACATCCTCAGTGACTGCTTCTCAACAAAGAAACCCCATTTTTAGGACAAAACAAGGTACTACAATTTAAGCCAATTATTGTCTCATGTTTGGTTAAATCTGGGTAGCAGTACGTAAAATTATTCAAAACTGAAATGGTGTTCCTCAACAAATATTCCTCTAGAACTTGATCTATTCCAGTGATTTGCAATTTATGAATGTTTTAAGAACTGCATTGCATTTAGGTACTTTCTGATGACATGCTTTAACTTAATTTACTGTCACTCAATTCCTTATGCAAACTTCTGTAAAGACAATATATATATATATATATATAAACTTAAAAAAACATGCCCCATCAAGCAAACTGACCATAGGTTGGCACACTCAGAACACACATTCTATAAAAGCATAGCTCTCTTCAGTAGGAACATCAATCAGCAACTTGATCTACATTCTTTGTATTATGATGAACTTATGTAAACACACCTTGTGATTTGAAACTGGAGAAATATTCCTTGTGTTGTACATACACAGAAAATGTTAAACATACCCCAACAAGTTTTTTGTAATTCTGATGCTTAAACAAAGAACAGGACTTCTGGGAAAAACATGGTATACACAGAAGGTACACAAAAATATGTGCCATCAATATACTGCCATATGGCATTACAGGGAAAGTTGGTGATGGTGTAAGGAGAGGAATGCTAATATCAAAAAGAGGAGGAAAGATTTATATTTCCATGCTGTATTCTCCATAATACACGATGAGCAGCTCTTCACCTCAAAGGGTTCATAACTCTAGGCATGGCAGCAGGTGCTCGTCTAGTTCATCCAGACTCGCGGACAACAAACACTATGAATGGCACACATCGGAAATGGTCACTCACCTTGGACACACAAACACTCTTCTTGGCTTGGTTGGTCTGGTCATGGGGCAAACCTCAACTTGGTTCGGCACTCTGGCCGTCATGTTGCTACTACAACTTATCTAAACGGAAATTATCTTCTGTTGCAGGGTCCGTTATAACATTCATGTCTGGGTCTGTCAGCATTTGCAGACCATCGAAGTCAATGGGGACAAGACCTTCCCTCAACATTTCATCTGAAGGGAGGAGATCTGTGTCAAACGAGCCTGACATTGCTGAACCCAAGTCTTTGACAAACTCTTGCCGAGAAAGATCGTCTCCTGCACTTGAAGAGAAGTCTGCAAGTACAAAGCAGAATGTTACACTCTACACAAAGAACACAACATATGGCCACACAACACATTCAAAAGAAATAAAAAGTTCTGTTAAATGTTTATGGCATCCAATTTAAAGCAAATGCCTGTCCTTACATGACAAGGTCTGTAAAAATTATACATTACTAACTGCAACAGGATTTGAGGTTCTCTTGGCAGTGAATAATAACCTGTCATCCAGGAACAGGGACTTCGAATCTCTCAGTACTATGAGGGCGACAGCCATATTTTAATTTGGGGTAATGGCAATAATATTAAAAAAATGCAATTCTTGGGCACCTGCACTCTGCACCTGCACCACTGTAATAATGCAATACATAGCTGGTAAAGGTTACACAGTGTCTTAGTAATGATATAATTTACTGAATTATTTCTGTGCATAATTTCCTGTAGTACAGGGTCTTACTACAATACATTTTTTACATATAATCTAAAACTTTCAGTGACATCAAGGTTATAATTTTTAACATATAAAAAGAATGGTAAAATGCGACCTCTGAAAGGCATTAAGGTGTTACATCTCTCTGATGTAAAGGTAAAGAAAATGTGTTACCATTTCAGTGGACATGAACTGTAGGACAACAGGAGGAAGTTAAACAATGCATTCAATGGAGCACATTTAATTATGTTACATCTCTCTGATGTAAAGGTAAAGAAAATGTGTTATCATTTCAGTGGACATGAACTGTAGGACAACAGGAGGAAGTTAAACAATGCATTCAATGGAGCACATTTAATTATTACTGTCATTATAGAACAGATTTTCTGAAATTACTGATAATTTTATTCAATTACTGTACAGGACATAACAAATATAACTATTATTTTTCAAGACAATTTTTTCTTGGGTCAGTACTTAAATCAGATATCTGCCAAAACAGATTTACTCCCTTAACAAATATGAAAATAACCATGGAAACAGAAATGCCATAACAAAAGCATGATGTATCAAGGATCGTCAAAATATGTCAAGGAACTCACAATATATATATATATTGTGTATATAAAGTTCATTTTGGACCCCTAAGTAATACAGCTCTTGAAATGAACCTAAACATGATTTAAGTATGTAGAAGATAACTTAACATGAACAGTCACTTAGTCCTTAAGAAAAGTAGCCTTTATAAATGAGTATTATACTCATACAAAGTTTCATAAACATCTACCAAAGGATTCAAAAGTTATCCATGAAACAATCAATTAGACCCATAAATAAAGTGGCCCTCAAGACCAACTATAAATCCTGCTGCAGTACATGTACCACACTGCTTGTCTCACCAGGAAACTGGAGGCAGAATATGTACCATCATGAAATTTAAAAATCTGCAGTAACAATTTTACCTAAAATATCAACATAGAATTTTCACTGTTCAACAGCTCAAAGGTGATAGTTTTATGGTTCAACAGTAGAGGTCCCTGTATAATAGCAATATGAAGTGGTGCCACCTACAGTCAGGTGCTGCATTTATTATTATGCCTCAATCTTCATATTCTCTGTCCATCAGCCAAGGTAAGAAGTATTGCACCAAGGGCTGAACAGGGCTGGAGCCTAGATGAACAATCCAGTGCATGCATGGCAGCACACTGTTGAATTCATGCCTTCTATCCATATATGACTTTGGAGACACTGACATTTAATTTCCCCCTGACTGGATACCTTTACTTACTTAACTCATACTTACTCATGGAGCTGAGCCCTTCTGGAGGAGCCGCCAATTCTGTAGCTACTCAAGAATTTCACAGCATTTTATGGAACTTGAAGGTTCATTACTGTGTTCACAAGAGCCCTCCACTGGTCCCTATCCTGAGCCAGATCAATCCAATCAATACCATCCCATCCTATCTCTCTAAGATCCAATTTAATATTGTCCACCCACCCATGTCTTGGTCTTCCTAGTGGTCTCTTTCTTTCTGGCTTTCCCACCAATATTCTATACGCATTCCTCGTCTCTCCGATTCGTGCTACATGCCCTGCCCACATCTTCCTCCTTGACTTCATCATTCTAATTATACTTGGAGAAGAGTACAAGTTATGAAGGTCCTCATTATGCAGTTTTCTCCAACCTCATGTCACTTCATCCCTCTTCGGTCCAAGTATTCTCCTCAACACCCTCAGTCTATGTTCCTCTCTTAATCTCAGAGACCAAGATTCACACCCATACACAACCACAGGCAAAATTATACAGTAGTTTTATATATTCTAATTTTTATGATTTTGGACAGCAGACAAGAAGACAAAAGGTTCTCGACTGAATATTGGATACCCTTAGTAATAAAAATATCATTATGGCTAAAAAAAAAGTAAGGATTCCTTAAAAGGAATGTACTTACGCACTAAGGTGTATGCATCTATGAAGGGAGTTAGGGGTTTGAGGGCATTATAATGAGGTGCTGGAGCCACTGGCAAACCTGTTGTTGAGGGATCGGCCAAGGGCAGGGACACCTGCCTGTGGAGACATCAGGGATCTCTTTCTTGGCAATCAGCAGTTCTGGCATACTACTATAGGGAGCAAGCAGTTCCAGTATACCCGCAGAAGAGATCTACTACAACATGTAGTCTCAGGAGAAGGCAGGCTTCACCCAGCAAAGACAAGATTGTCTGAATGTGTTAGGAGGAAACTGAAAAGAAATGGGAGGGTCAAGGAAGAACTGGGGGCACACAGCAACCAGGGCACCAAAGGAGGGGGAAACCTTGACTGGAGTAAAGGGTGTAACCTACAAGGAAGATCAACCTTTCTAACAGGCCCAGGTACTCTAGGGGACCAGGGGTCTATGAAGACGCCTTCATTAGTATTAAGATGGCATTCATCGAAGAGAATTACCTTGAAGATAATCTAACCGAGGATGAACAAGACCTTATCCTCAAAGAAATGGGAACGGTGTTCAGCAGGATCTCAATGGAGGAACTGCTGCACTTGGAGTCCTTTGTGATGGAGGCAGCACTCATATGCATGTGGCAATCAACAATCTGTATAGTGGCATATCAAACCAGCTGATGAGCAGAATCTGGGGTAAGGGACAGGCTGAAAGCAATGGATGCCAGACGACATGTATTATAGCAGTTCTTAGGAGAAGGCACAAAGTGGTCAAAACTACTTCTGAGCTGCTGAAATGGATCAAGAATTTCAAACTAGGACTTCAAAAAGAAACACTGGATAATGCTGAGCAAGCAGCCATAGCTGAAAGGCCAATGTCTTATCCTAATTCTAAGACTGTAATTATGAAAATATCTATCAAGGAGACTGGCTACACAGTCAATATGGGATCCACTGAGGGAACCTTTAGGGTCCTCAGTGACCATGTAGAAAGGCTCAGGACACTATAGAAATCCTTGGTGAGCCAATCATCCTTGGGATCTAATGTGAACACACGCAGGACTGCTATGTACAATCCTTCTGAGGCCTATACAACAACACAGTTACTGTTGGAAATGGTGTTATACTACTCACTGCTAGGCAGCTGCAACAGTAGGACTAGAGCAATGGAAACAGGGGTGTTTTCTACGTGGTCTGTGCTGAGAAGTTATCTTGAAGACAACTGCGGTGAACCCGTGTATCATGAGAATGAAAATGTTCACAATATTGGACAAGGCGAAGCCTGACAAAGAAAGTATATGAGGCTTAAACTTGGTGGCAATGAAGCATACAACTGTTCAAGTGACTAGACTGCTGCTGTAGTGGAAGCTACTAGAAATAGGGCATAATTTGTACTGAGCCTGGACTGACAGAGGCTCTGTATATATTTTATATACATTTACTAACATGTTTCACATGTAAAATGTAAATATCATTTACATTAAGGCAAACGACTTACTACTGCATCCTCTTGTCAGAGAGGGCACCCCACAATAACAAGACCATAACTGTCAAACAATAATAAATATATGGTCATAAGCACCAGACTTGGCTCGACACCAAGACTGACTGACTGACTATCAGTTGCAATGTGACTTTGACTTAAACCGTGTGGAGGCAGGGTCAAAGACCTCCACCGTGACCCTGAGAGTTGTAGGAGGCAACAAAAAGGGAAGTCTCAAATCTAAGACAGTAAAAACTATGGTCCTGAGTCCCAAGGCACTTGGACCCAATAAAGACTGCACTGGCAAGGGCCACCAGCTTATACAAAAGACAGACCTGTCCTCTTGCCAGAGCAGGCACCCCACAAAAAAGACCGTAACTGCCACACAGTAATAAATATCTGGTCATGAGCCCAAGACTTATTGACTGACTGCAGTTGCAATGTGACTTTGACCCAGCAAGTTATCAGCTGAAAGTCAGCCTGTGAAGAGAAGACTATGAGGTTTGTTGTGAAATGGCCACCAGACTGGGAGTTAGTCAGCTGTCAGCTGATAGGCAGTTTTGCATGGGAAGCTGTGAGGGTAGAACCTGAGCACATGAAGCTGAAGAATCTCCATTGTTATAAGATGTTGTCAAGCAATGGTTGATGAAGACACAGCAGGCTGGAAAAAGGCTTAGCTAGTGCTGTGGTTATTTGTAAAATGTGGAGATTAGTGACAGCTCTGTAATTACTTGTAATTCTGAGTGGTGTGTATAAATGGCAAATAAATCAATTCACCAAGACATAGCCCATCTATAGTTGTCAGTCATACACGTGAAAATATTAATGCCTTGCTGGGAGCTTTGTTTCAGGGACATGATGATGGTGATACCATGGATGCCAGTGACTACAGCAGCAGCAGAAGTTGTAACTCATAATTAGACATGGCACTATGAACACCGGTATGGGGAACAGTGGTACCAATTTAAGACAAGAAAGCTTAACGCGACATTTGGTAAGTCTGAGCCTGCCTGTTCTTAATCAAGGTAATTATCATAATTTGTGATTTGCAATAGGAAGGGTGTTATTAACCTCATGCTAGCAACCAATGAAACAAGAAACCTGGCAAGTAATTGACATGTGTCAGATGAGCCTTCTTTGTAAGATGACACATATGCTTTCAAATAGGTAGCACAAAAGTCACTTCATACCAATTGATACGTGAATCATGGCAGGTGAATTTTCCATTTGAATAAAACCTGGCCTGCTGATAGGCTGATACGGTCTAAATAACACTGCAAAATACTGTGCCCAATAACTCTGTTGTTTTGAATATACAGAATGCTGAAATCTGTTGGATGTGGGTTGTTCTTCACTTTGTAGTAGCACACAGTGTAACAATTAAATTCCCAAACTGAGGCCAGAAGAAAACCACACACAAAAATGACAAAAAAAAAAATAATAATACCATCATTCAATACAGTCCCTGCCTACTTCCACACGTTGTTTACGTAGCTCATACAAATCAAATGCCCGAGAAAATTCTTCTTCCGCTATCGGCTTCAGTTCTCCCATCAGTCTGCTGGATTGATGAAACAGCCTCTAATCTCATCCCTTTCACTGCAATATTTAATTTAGGAAATAAAAAAAAATCAGCCAGCACTAAATCATGGGATAACAAGGGGATCATTTGTTTTGACAAGAACTCAGAGAAAATGCTGAAAGAATGCGCTGGTGCACTGAAGTGCAGAAGACACCAGGACCCACTTCCCTGAAACTCAGGCCTAACACGATGAACTCGAGTGATCAATCTATTAATCACCTCTTTATAAAATCTGCAGTCTGCTTTTCTGGCACAAACTCGTGATGAATGACACTGTTAACATAAAAAAATGCAGTCAACTTTGTTTTTATTAGAGTCAATTTTACCTACTACACAACACGTTTTTATTGTTATCACACTACATGTTTCGATCTCAAGAGGTCATCCTCAGGTGTATGAACAACTGTATAATTGCAAGCAATCACATTTGTTTTTCCACTTATTCAACCCTGTATCTTATTCAGGCTTATGCTCAATAATATATCAAGTTCTTCTTATAACACATAAGTTAGAATATTATTCTAAATGTTAAAAGTTAAAATTTAAAATTTCGTGAATCGAAGTTCAATTCAGATCACTGGTTATACTTTCACTTTCCCTTGTTTTTCAGTCTCTTCATACTTACGCTCACCACTGCGTCTAGTTCACTTTAACTAGTTTAATTATTATTATTGGTTAAAAGTTCATGAATTGAAGTTCAACTTTATTATAGTGGTTGCATTTTCACTTTTTTGGAGGTATCGCTGTTCTTCCGTGTCCTCTGATGCTGCCGGATCTGTTACAAACCTTGTCGTGATCCTTGAGGCCGAAACATGTACAGTTACAGGGGCGTCCAAAGTTCACTCTTCAATCTTAATGCAGGTTAATGTGCGTCCGAATGCAGTGAGTACACTGAAGTAACTGTGCGCTTTGTCCACTCCTTGCTGTCAGCTGTGGCAACGTGGGGCTTCCTTTGTTTACGCTGTCTCATCTCCGCAAATGGACTGTAGTTTGGTATCTTTACTACTAAGGCCTCTGACATTACAAGCAGCCTTTTAAGTTGATCTGGTATTTCAGAACTCTTATCTTCCTTTTTATTGCTGCTGCTATCATAAAACTAACGAACTGATTATGTCTTCACCTTAGTTTATGAGTGGTCTTCATTCCCAAGGATTGTTTACTGACCCACTGAACAACAGTCAACTTGAAGAATCATGAACTTCAACTTCAGGGTTACTTTCCCCTAGAACAGTTACCTTCACTGCGGTTTCCAAGCCTACTCTACCCGTTATGTGCACTTAGCTTTACACTGTCTCCTCTGACTGGCTGGTTAGCATCACTTTGCCAGTAGCATAGTGGTATAAGACTTGTAACTACCTATGCTGCCATAATGTGGTGGCCTAGGGCCACATACAAAACCAGCAAGGATAAACCTAATAAACTGCTAAGGCTGACTTCTCTGGTTATAACCAGAGGCATAAAGCCAACTTCTACAGCTGTAGCTAATATCCTCCTTAGGCTAAAGAACAGCTTAAGAACAGCTGCAATGAACAATGGAAGCCCAAATCCACATGGTCATACATCTTCAGACAGGAAGAAAGAACACATCTAACACATAGGTGCTGACAAAGTGATACCAATGTAAGAATTATTGGTCAGGTTTTCTGACAGAAGAGAATGGGAAGAGTGGATTTTATTTTGACAGAAATGGGGACTAGCTTAGCTCACAGACAGGCACAAGTCAAATGAAGGCATTGCTGCTAGGGCAGGATGAATATGACACAAAGAAGCTTAGCCTTAACCTTGGACGATATGCCAAGGTATTCCAGGCTGAAGAACATGCCATGATTGAATCTGCAGTAGAGAATATAGATGGAACATGAGAACAGGACCATCTACATACTGTCAGGTAGTTAGGTTTCTATCAGAGCACTTGACAATTACTATATCAGTTATAAACATGTTGGGACTGCCATCAATCCATAACAGAACTGGCTGAACAGGGTTCAGCAGATGTGTGTGCTGAACACTGGTGAAATGAGAATCAGACTGCTGACCAGCTGATAAGTTGGATCTGACGTCCATTTACAGGGTCCAAACAAGCACGTGGCACCTCAGAAAGGTGACTAGAGAGCACCATGAACAATGACAGTCTATACCTGGACAAAGGCATATGATAGGCTTCTTTCATGAATCCTCTGCAAAAAACTAATGAACTATGAGGGATAAGCAGGAACCTGTTGAGATATGTCACAGGAATATATACAGGACACTGTCACTTGAAGGGACACCCATTCACACTGGGACTACTAAACAGTCCATGTGTGAAAAGTGCCACAACACAGAAGAAACAGCCTCAATACTGTATGTAATTGTGAGTTTACAGGTAAATTCATTTTGTCACATGGCAGTCCATTTCATAAAGCTGAGTGACTATCATAATGCACCATTAAGCAAAGTACTCTGCTTCATTCAAAGCATGGGTCTGCTAGAGGACTAAAGTTAGGAGATGAAAAAGTGATCACTGATGATTGTGGTGCAAGGGTTAGTATGCCCACCTCTTCAGGATCAGGATACCAGCCCTTGGAAAACCCATTAATGTTTTGCCAATCCATGAATAAAAAAAGTTGAAAACCATCAACTTATGGGATGATACACTTGAGAATAAAGTGGTTTGTAAAATTCTCAACAAATTTAACTTTGCTTGTAAATATTTACCAGCAAATATACCTGTCAGAATGATGTCTGGAATACTGGAAGGAGTGTTAGGGGTCTGTGGTGTTGTCTGCTGTGTGCTGCCTCCGCTGGGATTGAAGCTCACTGGACGGTTGTACTGCAATTGTGATGGGGACTGGCTGTAATACCCTGGATCTGTAGATAAATCTTGTGTTCCAACTTGAGTCAACCCATCGTCTGGACTGCCTTGACTAACTGCCTGCAAGCAATGACACAGTTGCTAATGAAGTTTTAGTTCTAAATACTCTTAACAAAACGTAGCATAATCAGAAAAAAATATGAGACATTACAAATAAGAATACATTTTGAAGAACAACATTTAAAAGAATTAGGCACAATATATACATTGTCAAAGAAAATGAAAAGGAAAAACTAAATTTCACATTTTTAGAAAAAAAATACTTACAAATATTTATATAAGTAGTAGTGAAAGTGCCTATCCTTCTCCCCATTTTCTTAAAATAAAACAGTACTGACACAATGAAATTACATATCTATTACCCATCTGACTACAACAGCTCTTTGTATGTTAACGTCTTAAACTCACTCACTATTAAATTACGTAGCATGTCCACAAAGTAAGTTTCCCACTCGTCCCACAGCTAGTAAACCTTATATTGCGCAAAGCGACTGCACGTACTTGATAGAGCAATGACGTAGCATGGCGCATGCACTAACGGAATTTCCCGCGTTCCCACAGTAGCATCGTTGTAGCTGTTGAAGATGGAGGCTCTTATTGAATCTCCGGCCGACTGTGAAGTGCGGTCAGTGATAAAGTTTTTGAATGCACAGAGCACAGCACCGATCGAAATTCATCGTCAGCTGTGCCGGGTCTATGGGCCTAACATCATGAGCAAGCAGATGGTGTGTCGCTGGTGCTGCAGACAATTTTCAGCAGGTCGACAAAGTGTGCATGATGAGAAGCGCAGTGGGCGGCCATCCATCATTACAGACGCCCTGGTGGAGCTTGTGTGGGAATGCATTATGGAGAATCGTCCGGTCACAATTACGGAACTCAGCAGTCATGTCCCGCAGATTTCCCGCTCCTTGTTGCACGAAATTGCCATGGAGCACCTGTTGTTCAGGAAATTTTGTGCCAGGTGGGTGCCGAAGCAACTGACACCAGAACACAAAACAAAGTGCATGGAGTCAGCATTGACCTTTCTGCAGCGGTACCATGTTGACGGCAACGAGTTTCTGGACCAGATCATCACAGGTGATGAAACGTGGATTGCACACATTACTCCAGAAATCAAGCAGCAGTCAATGCATTGGCGTCACAGTGGATCTCCCTGTAAGACGAAATTCAAGCAGACATTGTTGGCGCGGAAAGTGATTTGCATGGTATTCTGGGACAGATGGGGCGTTTTCCACGTCGACTTCCTGACCAGAGGTGAGACGGTGAATGCTGAGCGTTATTGTGAAACACGGAAAAAATTGCGACAGGCCATTCAGAACAAGTGGCGTGGGATGCTTAGTGCTGGTATTGTCTTCCTGCACGATAACACTAGGCCACACACGGCTCGACGGACAGCAAGTCTCCTGCAGGAGTTCAGCTGGGAGGTGTTTAATCATCCACCCTACAGCCCAGACCTCGCTCCCAGTGATTTCCATCTTTTCCTACACCTCAAGAAATTCCTGTCCGGTGAGCGTCAGCATTTTGAGAATGACAGAGAGGCAGAGATGGTTGTCACACAGTGGTTCCAATCCCAGGTGGCAGACTTCTACAACACAGGTATTCAAAAGTTGGTCCCATGGTATGACAAATGTCTCAATTCTGGTGGCAATTATGTTGAAAAATAGCTGAACATTTGCTGTATCTGTTGCAATAAATATTTCCATGAAATTGTGTTTTGTTTCTGTAAACAGCCCCAGGGAAACTTGCTTTGTGGATGAGCCTCGTATGTTCTAAAACTGAAAAGATATCATACCACCATGTATCAGATGCTGATCACTTTATATTGTAACGTATTTTGCTACTAAAGACACCGTTCAAATTGTTAATTGGTTTATTTAACAACCTACAAGTCGTAACTACATAGTTGCGGGTTTAGACAATTTACAAACCCCTCACAATAATCTCTTCAGTAGTCTTCACGTATTTATAACGCGGGAGCTATACAAGTGTCACTGAATTACAAACTCCCGTTACCTTCTCAGTTATCACCAAATATGACTGATTATCGCATACAAACTCTTCTTATCATGCATTCGGTTCTTCTTCTTCCACGGCTGCTAAACTTATGTCTTCTTCATGTTCACAATTCACTCGCTGCAACTGAACTCAGCGACTGCTAGACTTCAACTGAACTGCTTAGGCATTCCAGTTCTCTTATAAATCCTCAGCCAGACAGCGAAAAACGCACTTCGCTTCCCTGTTGCATAATCGCCATGTTTACAGGTGTTGCTCGGCAACGCTGCCTAGAGTTGTTTATTGCTGTGTAGTAACCGCGGTGTCCCGTTACATCACTGTGGGAAGTGCTGTTATGTCACCATGGGGGAGGGGTGTTTACCGAGCATTGCATAATGATGGAAGGAGTGGGGGTATGTGACGTCACTTGCGAGACTGCAGAGTTCATGTGACCCCTACTTCCTCTTGTGCCATCCATGTCACAATATATTCAATTCTATACTGTTGTTTTGTACTTAGGATCCTACCAACCACAGGGCAGGGGAGGAAAGAGTGGGGACATAGAAGGATTTTCTATAATAGATCACAAAGCTTTTAAAATGCACTATATAAAATACTATATTTGCCTCAACATGATGTAAACTTCTCCTTCCCGCTAAAACCTCCTAGAAGCATTCACTGTGCACTACAGACATCTACATTCTCTCAGATATGTATTCTATTAGAAGCCATGACATAAAATGACACGAGTTACTGAAATTTGGAGCAGCCAGGAAACAACAACAACAACAACAACAACAACAACAGCAACAACAACAACAACGATGATGACGGCCAATGCCGCCATCGCCGCTGCCTCCACCACCGCCACCACTATTACTACTACTACAGCCACATCATTCATGTGCAACAACTTCAGAAGTGCCAAACACATTTCATGAAATTTTATATCGTGAGTTTAATTAAAATTTGCTAAAAATTTCACATTTAAACAAAAATATATGTATCTCTATGCATATCTCAAGTATAACCTGCTATTGGACCAAAAATGTTTTGAACAAACATTGTAAGGAATAATGGAACAGTTATTTCACGCCCAATACACTTTTCCTACAAATCTAACCATATCTGAGAAAACTAAAAAAGGTGTGAATGCATCAGAATTGTTACACTTTGAGTACTTATTCTAACATGTTATAAACAGAGCTTAAATATTTGCTGGAAGTAAACAATTTTGGGCTGCACTGGAGACTTCATCTGACTGGACTCTTGCTAACATACTTCTTTGGAGCTGTATGGATTACTCAATAATTATTGTATTCCTGTGTATCTATTATAATAGATACACAGGAAGGAAATTAAGTGTGAAAAATTTAGCATTGTGATACTAAATTTGCACACATCAAGTATTACGTGGATCAAATTGAACAGTATATAATCATGTTCACAAGTCTGCATGATGCAGCACTTACCTGTGAATAGTGTGTGGCATTATTTTGCGAACCTATGTAATTGATGCTTGTAGACACAGGATTGTCCATCTGAAAAAAACAAACAAACAATGTTTCACAGTTCATAAAATTTTCAATCATACAGTGAGTCCCATGTATCTTGGAGCCCACCTGGCAGTGATACTAGGTTACCACTGTCACTTATTTACTCTGTGGTAGGACTTGCCATTTGGATGTGGTTGATCAGTCTCACATCGTAACAACTGTGAAACAGATTGTTTGTGTTACTGAAGATGGAGCAGACAGTGTTCACAGCTGAAACCTTAGTATAAGAAATCTTTTACAAGATGTCACAGGAAATTTGGATGAAAGTTTCCTGTATATCAGTTCTTTAAAAACAGCAGCACATTAAACAGTAAACAGATTCTGAGTAGCTCTTTTTGAAAGAGAACTGTACATGACATGTTCTTGCAGAAGAAACACTAGTAGTATCAGAATTTGTTTAAAGTGCATCAAAGCTGTCTGTGCAAGAGAACAAAAGCTGTTTCATCTTAAGCCTTATAAAACTACACTGGTGGAAAAACTCTATGAGATACATTCTGCTGCAAGGGTGCAGTTTTGTAACTGGTCTTGTGAGGCGAGTGTGTGTTGGTGAAATTGACCCACTGCCAATTTATATTTCAGATGAGGTAGTTTCATTTGAGAGCGCACATAAATAACCAGCATATGGTCATCAGAAAATCTGGACCGCTATATAAAGTGTTTTTACAGGTTATTAAAGCTGGTGTAGAGTGTAATATAACTGGAAGAAGACCTACTGGGTATCCTTTTTTTCAGAGGTAATAAATTCAGAAAGATATATTTGCCAGAACCTAAGTATCATGCATTCTTTCAGGAAGCTGATGCAAATGGTCACATAGCAAATAGTTCAGTGACTGCCCTATGCAACATTTTTTGTGAATGAATAATTGATCACCCTTTGTGGCCATTCACTCACCCTATCCGACTCCATGTGATTAGTATCTATGGGGAAGTCTAAAAGACAAAGTTACTAGGACATTCCACACAGAGAGAATCAATAAAAAAGAAATTGAGTTTGCAATATTGTCAATTTGGCTCTAAGAACATCAAACTGTTTTCAATACCATGTTCACCAGGTGTCAGGCATGTCTGACAGATGAAGGTTATTTCCAGTACCTGCTATAACATGTGGTTACATCACAGAACACATCACACTAATATTGGTATTACCAACTAATCACAATCTGATGGCATGCTATCATAATGGGTTTCACGATAAATGGGACATCCTGTATATGAAGTACATTAAATGGAACAACTATTGTATAACTATCATATATGAACTACACTAAGCAGAACTATTTAAAGAAAAAACTTATACACTGTATTCATTAGAGTATATTATTACTACATTCACTATCAGAGCCATTAATGAATGAATAATGTTCCTCATCTGTTTGCTCCATCATACAAAAAAATTATACAAAAACATCTCATCCAAATTATGTCTGCTTTCTTCAGGATGTGACTACACAGTTTACCACTTCACTCAGTCACTAAATTACAAAGGAACACTGTAAAGATATAATAGTAAAACACATGATATAAACTGAAAATATTATGTTCAATTTGAAACAAAATTTTTGGGCAATTGCCATTCAGACTGGAGTGCTGCTCATGTGTCTTTGTGCTCACTCATGCATGGGAGCAAACATGCTCAGTATATTTAAGCATCCTGTTGCACTCTATACGATATATGATACAAACTCTGTCCTAAGTGCAACAATTTATTGTAGGTCTTTTGTCTTGCTTTCTTTTACACTACATGTTTCGGCTGCAAACAGCCGTCATCAGGTGTAAACACTCACATAGCTGTTACACTGCACTTAGTTTAAAATTTAAAACACCGGTCTTCTCAATTGTTCCCTTCATCGTTGCTAACAGAATCTACTTTGCTGATATTTGTCTGATTCGTGCATTATCTTTGTTACCTACATACGTCAATTTTGACTTTCATGAACTGGCAATTTTAAATCTTCAGTTCCAATTTTAAAAATTTAAAATTCTCAGGGTTACTCGCCCTATGTCTATAGTGCTGCAGCGGCTACTTCTTGTTTTCAGCACTTTACAGGTGTTATTCTGTGTAGGCTCCTTGAGCACATGTAGTAAAGATAAGCAGCAGCACGCACACAGGGAGCCTACACAGAATAACACCTGTACAGTGCTGAAAACAAGAATTAGCCGCTGCAGCACTATTGACATAGGGCGAGTAACCCTGAGAATTTTAAATTTTTAAAGGAGTTTTAAAATTGGAACTGAAGATTTGAAAGTGCCAGTTCATGAAAGTCAAAATTGACATGTGTAGGTAACAAAGATAATGTACGAATCAGACAAATATCAGCAAAGTAGATTCTGTTAGCAATGACGAAGGGAACAATTGAGAAGACCGGTGTTTTAAATTTTAAACTAAGTGCAGTGTAACAGCTACGTGAGTGTTTACACCTGATGATGACCATTTGCGGCCAAAACATGTAGTGTAAGAGAAAGCAAGACGAAAGACCTACAATAAATTGTTGCACTTAGGACAGAGTTTATATCGTATATCGTATGCTGAGTAAATTTTATCACTGATCTTAAATTCTACAATTGACAGAGTGATCAAGAGATCATGCAACACTCATATTCCAATGTAGAATTTACTTGGTCCAGGATTTTGACACATCTACTAGGCATGTCAATACAATGTAAACCCCTTTAAGATCACTGTAACTGAGAAAGATCAATCTGTATTCATTTTTAGACATTGCTCTATTCCTTTGCTGGGTGATATAAATTCCCATATGAAGAGTTAATTAAAATGTTTTTTGTTTAAAATGTTTAAATACTTTAAGGACAGAAACTGCGTAGAAGGCAAAAGGTAAAGCTCTCTATGTGCATAATGAAGCAAGATACCTCTGATAAGTACAGCTCCACACATTCTTAACAAAGGTGAATATCCAGCTTCACACCTTGGTGTCTTTACCCTTGGGGAAACATACCTCAGTACCTACTGGACAGGAGGCTGTATGGGCCTTAATGCTGGCCTGAATTGTAGAGAAGAGAAAAATCTCCCTGCCCCTGTCAGGAATTGAAACCTATTCCTCAGTCACATAGTGTGTGAGAGCAGTAACCATGTATTTGCCTGATGATGCCTTTAAAAGCCGAAACATTTAGCTAAGGTGATGCTGACCTAGACCATTTCGTTGTTGTGTTATGACAGATCCCAATAAAGAATTGTAGTAAACAATAAAAGTAAGTAAAGTGAAGTTACCCCTGTACCAGGCCGTGAAGGCCCATAGGGTTGTGAGACGTTGAGGGTCCCACATTATCTAGACAATCGGCTCAAAGATGGCGGTAAGGTTGTCAGCCTAACGCGCCGGCTGTGCTTCACTCCCCAGGAAAATTATTTAATTAATTCCTGGTACTCATTTATGTTAGAGGCTTAGTCGGCCTCATGGCCATAGTGTGGCTGGAAGGATTTTGTCAATTGAAAAAAATCAAATGACCTCATCGGGACTTGAACCCGCGACCTTCCAGCTTGTAGCATAGCCCCTCAATACAATACTTAATTTTATTACATTATGTGCATGTGTATTACAAAAACAGAAGGCATATATGCAAACATTTCCAGATAGCCTAACTCCAAAGAAATCAATAAGAATACAGTCTTCTGAAATATGTTGCTATTTGGTAGACAACTACCTATCTACCAAACTACATAGTGTCACATTTCAGGAGGTTACAGTCTTATTTCACTACTGTAAGAACCTCAAAACTCACAAACAAACAATAGGACAGAGAGCACAGAACCAGCTGGGAGTGAATTTTGTGCTGTAAAGGAAAAATCACTTTCAGTATTTTTTAGAATGTGTTCAACAGAATATGGACTGAACTGGCTCAGGTTGGGTCCTGATAAAGAACCTTTTGGAATAATAAACGGTAGGGGGCTTTTTTGAGTACCTCAGGCATTGGTAGCTACTCAGTAAGCACTTTTGTTTCATTGGAATTAGAAAACTGAAATGATATGGCATAAATTAGTGTAGTTCAAACAACTTAATATATAATCTTTATGGTATGCATCCTGTTGTGTTGTATTTATTAAAAGATAATATACAGGGTGTCCCAGGAGGAATGTGCCAAACTTCGGGAGGGTGTTCCTTATGTTAAAGTATGCTGATATAACCCAAAACACCTATGTCCAAAGTTGAACGGTTATGGAAATAATTGCCAGAGAAGTATGAAACTTTGACCAGTGTTACACACTTGTTGATTACAAAATACATATTAAAACTGGCAGGGATATGTGGTTTCTGTAATGTTAATAATGTACGTAACATCAAACTAACTTGTGAGTGACATGAAGCCATAAAATTGAAGTACAAAATACTCGCTCGCCATGTCATAATTGTCCTTAGGTTTCCAAGCACTATACATGACACACGACTGGCAAGCGCTGACGTAACATGGCTGACTGTGCATAATGGTATAAACAGACTACATAACTGTATTAAACGTACATTCATGGAAAATCTCTTTTGGAATTTCGTTTCCATTATCTCATGTGGATTATTATGGGACCATGTATGCACATTTCGTAAATTATTTACACCGTCCGGGGTAAAAGATGCCTCACCACTGAATAAAATGACGCTTAACAGTTCGGGATGAGCTTTTATCCAGTGGCACAAATCCATACGCTGAGCATGGTCGCCTGGTTCCAGATGTTGTACCCTTTGATCATGGTAAGGATACAACTCTTCATCATGTAAAGTTCGCCACACCTGCATACGTGATACACCGATGCGAGAGGCCATTCTACGAGTGGACAGACGCGGACTTCTCTGAACCATCTCAAGAATGTTCTCTCGTGTGTTTATCATTCGTACATCCTCCCTTTCAGAGTGCACAGAAACATTCGAAGAGAACCAGTATCACACAATGTCTGGTGAATTCATGTAAATACACTTCGAGATGGAATCCTTCGATCGGGAAAACGCCTTTGGTATTCTTCGACAGTAGCACATGCATTG